CATATCATCAGAAGATTAGATAAAAGAATTATGTAAATGTTATGTTTACTGAGATTAATTACTGTGGTTATGTAAGAAAATATCTCCAGTCTTAGGAAACACACATTGAAGTACTCAGGGGTAAAAGGCCATGGTGTGTGTAACTAACCCTTAAATGCTTCAGGAAAAAAAAAGAATATATATGTACAGAGAGGGAGAGAGAGAGAGAGAGAGAGAGAGAGAGAGAGAGAGAGAGAGAGAAACAATAACCAACTAGGACCATAAAAAAAATCTGCCTGCCACTCATCTCTGGATACAGATAAAGTCAGCTGCAAAGTTAACAGAAATCTCTCCCAGGACACACTGCAGCTGTAATGGGCCCTAACGACCCCCTTTTGTGAGTGACTACTGCCATTTTCCTCACTGGGAAATGTTGCTCTCTGAAATCATAGGCTTTGGGAAACTTTGCCATTTGAAAGTATATCCATAAGAATGAAACATCCGGCTCTTGCCTGGCTGGTGGAAGACACTTTGACACAGACAAGAAGCCTCAGTCTCCAGCCCTGATGCAGAGCTTTAGAAAGAGTTTCCGGGAACAACATGTCACATTTATCTTAACTTTGTAGTTTCCACAGAAACAGGATGCCGATTCCACTTTGCAGTCCAGACATGGTGTTGACTAATTTATGCACACCCCTGCTTTGCTCTGAAGCTATCAAAACACCGTTTCACCCAAATTCCTCTCTTTCCCCAAATCCTGTAACTTGATCGCAGCTCTTCTTGTAGGATGTTGTCTCCTCTCGTTGCGATGGGTCAGTAAACCTGACTGAAATGGATGGGTGGGGGATGGGGGCATAGACGGATGGATGAATAGCGATAAAGCTAAAGCAGGGTGTAAACTTATAACAGTAGGTAAATTTGAATAAAGAATATATACAAATACAAACTACTACTTGTATTTGTGCAAGTTATCTGCTAGTTTGCAATTACGTCCAAATAAAGCTTTTTTTTTTTCTTTTTTAAAGCTAAGTTGGTTCGGACCAGTGTTTAGCAAACTTTTTTGCAGGCAAAGGAAAAAAATTTATGTTGTATTTTATACTGTAATTCAGTACATACTTAGACATTCAAATTTTGAGAACTACTTGTAACCATTTTCTATGCGTTCCGATATCTTCTATGAATTTCACCTTTTTTTTTTTAGTGGTTATGACACACGTATTCTGAAAAACTCTAATCGGAAAGATCGGAGCACCGGTTACATTCAAATACTAAACGAAAGTTAAGACTTTGGCTTGGGATTTTTCCACCGGTTGACACGTGATCGGACTACATTTCCCAAGGTACCTCGGGGCTGCCCGAGCTCTGATTGGACACTGCCGAGCTCGGTCGTCGCGAAGGGCGTGGTCCTAAACTTGCTGGAAAATGTGCACGAGCCCCACGTGGGAGAGGGGGCGGGGCTTGTGGGAGGACCCGCGTGGCACACCCGATGGCTGCTGGGAAATGTGGTTCTGAGACGGCGGTAGCTGGCCTGCCGCTCAGCCGCCTGGGATTTGTAGTCCCGCCAAGTCCATGAGGGCACCACCCCCCCCTCCACCTCGCCCCCGCCCCCGATGGTTTGTCCTCTGGCTGGGTCATTGCAGGCCTTCCTCCATCACTTCCCTGGGATCCATTAACGCATCGATCCCAACCAGCTACCGAGGCGTTCCTGGTCCTCGGACTCCAAGCTCTCAAACACCAGGTGCTCCGCGGGGAGCCAGGGAGTGGACATTGGAAACGCTGACCCTTGGGAGGCCTAGGAGGGCTTCTTGGAGGAGGGAGCAAGGTTCCCATACACAGACCTGAGTCAGAAATCATTCCAGAATGCATGCGAGCGAGCTGATTTGATACATAAACAATCCTTGCCAATGCCCTTTGCTCGCCACCTCGGACCTCTCTGTGTGTGTCTTTGTTCCTGGGCTGGTATGACAGGCACTGACCGGACAAGCATCTAGAGTGTTGGAGGGTGTGATGGGGAGAGCCCCCCCAACGCTGTGGGCGCCCAGGGGAGGCCAGGGAGGAAGAGAAGCAGACTCATCTCACGGTCTCCAACCTGGCCCCACACCAGCATCTTCTTTCATTCAAAAAGCTCCCGCGCGCTAAGAGATGCTAGGGAAATGGCGGTAGTCATACCCGGCCCTGCCTCTGCGCGCTCCTCCAGTCTGGCTGATCAGTGATGGGTCAGGAGAGGTCTCGCGCAAGTTTTTGCGGTAAGTAAGTGGCCTAGGTAGGTCTAGAACTTTGGCCATCTGGCTCTATAATCCAGGCAGACAAAACCACTGAACTGCCCCGGCCACTTTGCAGAACGTCAGGTCCGTGAGGGTGAACCCCACGTGGTCAGTAGCAAATATTCGTCAATGTGTGCCTAATCTGCCATCTGGTTGCCTATTATGACATCTTGCTGCCCCACCTCCACGCTAGAAAACAAGCTTAGAGCAGGGAGAGTTTTGAGGAAGGTCTTCAGTCCCCTGACTGAAGCCTTTCTGACCAGAGGCCGCCCCCTCTCTCCAGTCTCTCATTCTGTACCTCTTATGGGGGTTGCGGGGCTGAAAAGTGACTCCTGGAGGGAGGCGATGTGTGGTGCTCCCCCCTTTTGGAGATGACAGGGGTGGTTATTTCCTCCCACTGAGGGATCCAACGGTGACACTTTAGGCTGGTGGCACAGTGGCTGAGGGAAGGGAAGGGAAGGGGCAGAGATGCAAGGACAGACAGGGTCGCACTCTGGCTCCTGAACTCCCTGATACTGTCCTGGTCAGGACCAGGCCAGTATTGGGGGAGAGGGAGACTGAGTATCCTCACTGCCCCAGGAAATAAAAGTGTGGCAAATGGCGGGGAAGGAAAGGTATAGCCTGGCTCACGTTCTGCCATCTCCCAAATGCTCATGCTCCTGGGCTCATCCGAACATCCCAAGAGCCATGAAAGGTAGGGATGACTGTGCCCATCTATTCAGATGAGGAAACTGAGTCTCAGGGCCGCGAAGAGACTGGCTGGTGACCTCACAGGCAAGGAGTGGAGAACATTAGGAAGGCTTTAGCTCCTTCCTAGATCTCTCTGACCAGGATTAAGGCCTGGGACAATGAAAGACAGGTCCTGGGTCCCAAAGGTGAGTAGGGCAAGATGGGGGTGAAGGCGTCAACGGTGTGTGCACACATGTACTCCAGACATCTCTGTGCAGGAGTGGATGCCTGTGTGTGCATGTTCACATATCTTCCCCATCGCTTTGATTCCCGGGGCTCAAATAATACCCGTAAAAGCAGGACAGTCCCGGCATCCAAAGGCCCGGGTCTTGCCTTTCCGGGTCTGCCACGTGGCAAGATAAAAGACCAAAAGTGCCTCCACTGCCCGCTCAAGTCAGATTCCACAAGGCTTTATTGTCGCCGGACCGACCTAGCCTGGTGTTTGCCGCTCCCAGGAACAACAAGGCAAGGGAGGGGTCCGGCCCCGCAGGAGCCACCACCGCCCGGGATCTATCTCCCAGGCAGAGAGGGAGGAAGGAAAGAGCGTTTTCGCGGAGCTCGCGGAGCGCGCAGCCCCGGCCAAGGGCGGGTGGCGGTGGCATGGAGTGGAAAGACGGGGGACCGGCCCCGCTAGAAGGGGAACTCGCAGACGTAGTAGAGGCGCCGCTCGCAGTCGTGGTCCCACCAGGAGCCATCGTCCGAAGCCTGCGCCACGCAGTTCTCGAGCGCGCCGCCGTTGGGCTGGTTGGGGCTGAGCGGGTGCGGCGCGGCGCTGGGCTCGGTGCCGGGCTCGGGGTGGGGCGCGCGGTGCCAGGCGAAGAAGGATACGCGCTGGCCGTTCTCGAAGAGGTAGAGGCCCTCGGCGCGCCGGTCGTGCACGCCCAGCCACACGGGCCAGTTGTAGGGAGCCAGCGCCGCGCGTAGGTAGCGGGTGAGCGCCTCCATCTGCTGGCGGTCGGCCGGCTGAGCCAGGCTCCCGCCCCGCGCCGCGCACCGCGCCTGCGCCGCCGCCTGCGCCTCGAAGTCGCGCGAGAGCAGGAAGCACTTGTGGCCGAGGCGCAGCCCCTTCAGGCAGCCTGCGGGGCGGGGGAGGAAGGGTCAGGGCCTGGGGGGCGGGGCCAGGGCCT